GGGGTTGGACTAAAAGACCTCCAAGGTCCCTTCCAACTCTGTTCTTCTCTTAAGGATGTGTTGTCCCTCAACCTCTCATCTAGCTTTCAACCCTAGCGGTTTCCCATCCAAATATTAACCAGAGCTAAACTTGCTTAGCCTCCTGGGTCTGCCAAGGAGGGGCTAAGTGCCCTTGTCGTGTCATGTGTTTAAAAGATTTTTAAACATCACCTAAACAGTCTCCCACTTCTCTTGTAAATACAATGCTACTCTGATACATGCTTCCTCTTTAATCACAGATGATAAAACAGGCTTGATGTTTTATGTCTCTTTTATTTCCTTGTGGAGTGAGCGATGCTGTTCACTGGGTGGGATATAATCATGTTTTCAAAAAATAGGATATTGCACTATATTTATTAATATATGCAACATTTTCATGTAAGAAAAAAAATGTTGACTCTGGAGACCAAAGGAGATTCTGATGTGTAGACTCTGCTATGATGTGGTGGTCTGGATCCCCAGGAGGGAGGGTTGCCTTTCAGAGGAGTAAGAGACATCTCAGTTCAGATAGTTTGCGTCAGAGAAAGAGGATGAAGGCAGCCCCTCCCTAATAGTTCCCAGAGTATATGCTTCATGTAGTTTGTTTTTCTCTCATCCCTTTCATTGTGCAAATTACAACAGTTGTACTGTGACACTGGGCAATTAGGAATTATATGACAGAAAATCTAATGGAAAATATTGTACTGAAGAGAACAAATTCATTGTGATAATCCTCATAGTTATACCTCCAAGGAAAGGAGGGAAAGTGTGCATATCCTATATATTCCTTGCACACATACATTAAAGTATATCAGTACCTAAATTCTGTTTTCAAGATATCAATGGAACACTGCAGAACACTGCGTTGTACATTTTTTCTGCATTACAAATGGTAATAAATTACTTCATTACTCTTCTACTCATACTGTTGACTTTATTGTGTGTTCCTTGAAGAAATGGTCCCAGAAGTGATTTATACAATGCAGAAGTATAATCTGTAGCGGCTGGAAGAAACAGGAAGTGAGATGAGAGCAACAGCATAGTTAGTTAGGGAGGCCCAAACACTGTGTAAAAGTCTAGATTAATAAAATACAATAATTTGATTAGTAAACTCGGCCCATGGAAACCTGCTTGTTGTAACAGAGACCCAAATGAGGAAAGCCTTTTAATAAAATGGAGAACTGATAGCTCAAGATATTTGACCTTTAGGACAAGGGGTCTCTATAGCCTGGGAACAATAGAACCAAGAATTTAGGCTAATTATGAACCTCCTTATACAGGGATTTTTTTTTCCAGCTAGAAAAAAAAACACTTTTTGATAATGTTTATCCAGAGACACATAGCGTCCTGTGCCCTTACCCCTTTCTTCTAGTCTATCCTTTTCTTTTTCAGTGGGGTTTTCTTTTCATCCTGCCCTATGGCTCAGGATGGGCAGATCACTTTCTTCTAGAACAGAGGTGGGGAACTGAAGCCCCTTTATGGCTTGAAGACTACCACTCCCAGAAATTCTGAGCCAGTATTCCTGGTTCAGGAATTCTGGGAATTGAAGTCCACAAGTCATAAAAGGATCATCATTCAGACTTCCGGGTTTGCCCGGTAGTGTACGGCCACGGGATTGGGGAGCTCCCCTTCCCGCAGCTCTTTTCGCCCTGCCGGGGGACTCTAAATGGATCTAAAGCCACCCCGAAGAGGCAGCGAAGAAAGAGGGGTGCCCCAGTGATCTGGGAACGACGGTGCTTGTCCCATTTGATTGGGAAATTCCCTCTAACCTGACAGGAGAAAGGCTGGCCCCATCTCGGTAACCAGCCCAAGCTACTTGCAGCCAAAGTCCACAAGTACTCACCAGAACATCGGTGAACAGCATGCTGAAACTGGGTGAGAAATTTGATCTTCTCTCTCTTACTCTATATTCTGAACTTTTGGAAAAGATACTGCAAGAAGCAAAAAAAGCCTCCAAAAGTGAAAAGGAGGGGGAGCTTTGCCCCGCCCTCCCATGGAAGGAAGTGGCAAATTAAACTATTAAGGGGGACAGAAACATACTGTTGCTGACATCTCGTGGTGGAAGAGAATATATAACTTTAGCTGCTTTGTTATAAGTATTGCAGGACACCAGAATGAGATAACCTATTTCTTTGATCTTTAAAAAGAGCTAAACAAAACATTCTGGGCCAGCCACAATAAGCAAAGTATAATTGAAAAGAACATAACTGACCTTCCTGGATGATAAACACCTATTGACTCTGACTTTAAAGCTGTTTTCAGAGAAAGAAAAAAAAATTGAATTCTAGCTATCATGGAATCTCAAGAGCTTGCAAAAAGAACTTGTCAAGAAAAGTCAAATATATTCCAGGAAGAAATGCTTGCTATGTTGCAACTAATTCAAACAACAATGGCTCTAAACCACAATGAAATTAAAAACAACTTTGATGACATAAATGAACATATCTTTATGTTAACCTCACAACATAAGAATTTTCAGAAAATGAAAGAATCTATCAGTGGAAGGGATTGTGATTTAACACAGATGGAGGAAAACACACAAGATGTGACTGAAGTACCAGTACTGGAAGAGATAGTCCACACCCCAGAATCACAAAACAAAGCCGAAGATAAGAAGAAAAGCCTGATAAAATAGATTACAGAGATACTAAAAAAATCTACGACTTGAGAGACAAAAAAAGATAAAAGAAATCAAATCTTACCTGATTTGTCTCTTCCATCCTTAACAACATCCACAAGAAAATGGCAAGACTTTTTAACTAAGTGGAATAGATGGATGAGAAAAGCTGTTTGGCGAAAGAAAAAGACTAAAATCAGATCCAAGGGATTAGAAGCAATTTTAAAGATTAAGCATTTGTTTGAATATGGTTAAAATACAATATGGTCTGCTCAATCATTGACTATTGAATGGAATAGAGTTATAAGATATATATATATATAGTTTGAGAGATATATGTTTTTCTTTCTCTTTCTTATTCTGAGTAGTGTATTTTTTATGATATGAGAAAAGTAATTGTTGGGAGGATTATTGTGAGGGAAACAGCTTAGATATTCAACTTTGAATATCAATTTTGAGAAAATCTTAACAGATAAAAATGATTTTGTGGGGGAAAAGTCTAAATGAGAATGTTGAAAACAGGACATATAACACAACCAAAAGGACTAACTAGAAAAGAAGTTCTATACTGATGCTATTACTAATTGGATAAATGTAAGAAAAAATGTTTTTATTTAGCCTCTTTGTTACTAAAATACTAAGAACTGTATTAACCTAATGTTTGCAAAAGAGAACAATATGGGAAGAAGAGAAAATCAAGGAAAGCTGTTATGTAGAGCAGGGCTTTTCAACCAGTTGTATGGGTACCACCTGTGGTACATTGGCACCTGGTAGGTGGTACATGACCATCCTAGAAAAGTGATAGTGGGGGAGGGGAATGAGCTGAACCAGTGGCAGCACCGCACAAGCCTGAGCGAGAGACGGCTGGAGCTGCAGGGCTGTCAGGGCTCAGCGGAAGATCAGTGCCGCTTTCCAACTGATTGGTGCTTCTTCGGGGCTGTCAGGGCTCAGTGGAAGCACCAGGATCAGCACCAGGCTCCAGCTGGAGTTCGGCGTTGATCCTGGTGCTTCTGCTGAGCCCTGAAGAAGCGCCGATCAGCTGGAATATTGCAGCATCTTCAGGATCTTGTGATTTGTATTCAGATGCTTGGCAACTGATTCATAATTATGACGGTCACAGTGTCCCAGGGTCATGTGAAGTGACCAAAACCTGCTGCAACTACCCAGCAGACGGGGGGGGAATAAAAACCAAACACCCCCACCCCACCCCCGCTGCCAATCCTCAACAGAAATGCTCACAACAATGAAAACCTCGGTTAGGAGGAAGAGCGCCGCCGGGGGGCAGGCAGGTGTCTTGCTCGGCTGTGGCTTGGGGGGCACTTTTTCAGTGCCATTGTAACTTTGAACAGTCATTAAGCAAACTGTTGTAAATCAAGGACTACCTGTACTTTATCACTTTTTTACTTTTTTTGGGGGGGGTCATCAAGTTTTTCACACCTTGCTGGGCAACTGGTGGTACTCGGATGTTGCCATATCCTAAAAGTGGTACAATGGGTGAAAAGGTTGAAAAGCCCTGATGTAGAGTACGATATGATAGAAATTGATTATATATTTAAAAAAGGGGCCATCGTTCCCCACCTCTGTTCTAGAAGCTGCCCGATGGAATGCTTACAGGAATAAAAAAAGGGTGGGAGGAAGTAGGGGATGAGGGGAGAAGTTGGATGGACATGGTTGCTATGGGGAAGTCAATCAAAATGAACGCAGCCCAGATAGACTATGCAATCTCTGTTCTGTATGTCAGGATCCCTCATTTTGCTATCATAACTATTCTGTGATCTCTGTTTTAAAATTATGTGTCCAAGCTGGTGTTTGACTTGTTACAAAGGGGTGGGGAGAGGTTGTGGCTCCTGGGAAAGTTTATGTCTACTCAATAAAAGTTAAGAATGTAATTAACATATGTCAGTCCTCCTCTAAAGCCCGCTTAATTTTACCTATGTGCCCTGCATTTGTGATGACCCAGCATCCTTTCCTCATGGTAAATCTTCCAGGGAGCTTGTCTTGTCATGGCCCCATGATCACTAGTTTAGGCAATCTCCTGGATTTCCAAGAGAGGGTTTAACAGAAGTGGCTTTGGCAGGATACTCATTTCCTGCAGAGTATTCATTTCCTGTAACCCAAAGGCTAACTATGTTTCTGACATGCAAGGGCAGTTCCTTGAGGCGGTAGTTATAATGGCTTTTTAAACACTTGCATAGAGCAAATAAATCTTCCCTTTGCCCCAAGATGTATGTGCCACACCATTTACTAATGTGGTTTTCCTGCATTTTGATCTCAGCATGGAATACTTCAGACAAAAGTAAATCATCTGATTATGTTTCATGCGATTTCATGCTCATTTCCATGCTTTCTGTTTTCTTTCTTTCAGCCTACCCGCCCATGACAACCAGCGCATTTATCTCCATAAACAGAATTTACTATATCCAGGTAAGACAGTAACTACAGTATGTGCTCTATAAACATGGACCACGTTCTGCTGCATGCATTCCTTCCTTCTCTATTATCAAAAATATACCGCTTCAGGTCCTTGGGAGAGAAACTACAAGAATTTAATGAGCATTATTCCCTTGAATAAAAAATTCCCACCTCTGCAGATTAAGATTATCTGAAGTCTGATATATGCGTATGCTAATGAACTTTCAGATATAATATTGCTTTTGAATTTTATGGATTTAACATTGCTGTGAATTTTTTGATGCTGTTCTTGGCCCAGAGTCACTTGATGGTGAACATGGGTGGCATGTAAATGTAATAAATAAATAATATTGAGATGTGCTTAAAATGGATGATTTGATTGAGATAAAATACATTCATAAGTAGATTTTTAAAGTATATCGGAATGTATATATTTGTAAAACATTAAGTCAGGTAATATGGAAATAGGATAGTAGACTAAACAGTGAACACAAGGTAATATGATGAAGATTGGGAAAAAATGTTAGGAAGCTATGCAGATATTACGTTGCATCATGACTGGGGTCAGGTTATTTGTTTCTAAGATTCATGGCTTGGAGCTTTCTATCAAAAGTTTGAGGCAGAGTGTATAGTATTCTTTCCTCTAAGTGTATATTCCTATTGCAACCCCATGGGCTGAAAGATACTGATTGGCCCAAAGTTGTTCAATGAGCCTTGAATGAGGACTTGAATCTGGGTTTATCGTGTACTTATTGAACCCCTTTATCTATTAAAATTCATGGATGCAAATACCATGATGAAGACAAATAGGTCTGCTTGGAAAATTCTATACATGCTGTCTTGATTTCACTAAATGGAAAAAGATGAGATATAAATGTACTAAATAAAGCTACAGTTTGTAAAAACAGAAGTCATACACCTGGTGGCTGAGTGCCAGTATTGTCAGTTCACTAGTACTGTGCTGCAAGAAAACAAAAAACATTACAATAGAAGAAAATTAAATCATTGTGTTATTTGATGCCATCTTATTCTTTACATCAGTTGAATTAAAACTAGTGAAATAATCAATTGCAGCAGTTCTATACAGTGTATCATAGCCAATTACACAATTGAAATATCAAATGGAACTCATTGGCTTATATCTACCACATACTATCAGTCTGATGGGTACATCTATGAACTAATTCCATGAGAACTTCATTTCAAAATTAATAATAGTAATGTAAATATTAGAAACCGTAATCCTTGCATTAATATAACTAAAGTATGGATTCATTACATGGATGATACATTTGTCATAACAAAAAAGAAGAGAATGCACACAGATTAATCCACAGTACATTTGAAGTGATCAAATTACCAAAATAAGAAAATAATAATATAGTAGCCTTTCTAGGAATTCATTATTATTATCGATCATCGCATAGTCAGCCAGATGTTCAGACTGGATTTGGCATTTTGTCTACCTATCGAGTCCTTACCCAGGACCTGGGATAGGCAGATGTGGATGTTTGATGGTATTACAGATATCGTCGCAGGATGGAAGCAGTTCCTAATAAGGCCGCCTTTTGCAATTGACTAATAGCGAATTTGTCAATGCCAATGGTGTTCAAGTGGTGCTCCAGTTGTTTTGGGATTGCACCCAAGGAGCCTATGACTATTGGTACTACCCTTGCTTGCTTTTGCCACAGTCTTTCTATTTCTATTTGTAGGTCTTTGTATTTTGTTATCTTCTCCAGTTCTTTCTCTTCTATTCTGCTATCTCCAGGCACTGCCACGTCCACTATCCAGACTTTTTTGTCTTTCTTATCGACAATTGTTAAGTCTGGGGTGTTATGTTGCAGGTGCTTGTCTGTTTGAATTCTGAAGTCCCAGAGCAGTTTAATTTTATCATTTTCTATGACTTTCTCTATTTTATGATCCCACCAGTTTTTGCTTACAGGCAAATGATATTTTTTGCAGATCTTCCAATGCACCATTGTTGCTACTTTGTCATGCCGCTGCTTGTAATCAGTGTGCAATCTTCTTGCAACAGCTTACCAAGTGGTCCACTGTTTCTTCAGCTTCTTTGCATAGGCGGCACTTACTGTCTGTTGCTGTCTTCTCAATTTTGACTTTGTATACATTTGTCCTTAAGGCTTGGTCTTGTGCAGCCAGAATTAGTCCCTCGGTCTCTTTCTTCAATTTTCCTGCTCTTAGCCATTGCCAGGTTTTATTATTATCTGCTTTCCCAGCTATTTTTTTTCATGTATTGGCCATGTAGTGCTTTGTCTTCCCATGCCTCTATTCTGTTCTTCATTTGGTCTTTCTTGTAGGCCAGTTTGGTCTCTCCAGTAGTCAGTAAGCCTTCCTGATATACTAATTTCAGTGCATCTTCATCATTGTTCTTCAGATATTCTTCCAAAGCCATTTTTTCTTCTTCATCCATCTGATGTACTTGTAGCATTCCACGCCCACCTATTTGCCTTGGTAGATAAAGTCTATCAATGTCACTGCGTGGATGAAGGGCATGATTCATTGTCATTATTTTTCTGGTCTGCCTATCCATTGCTTTTAGTTCTGCTTGAGTCCAGTCCACTATTCCAGCTGTGTACCTAATGACTGGGATTGCCCAGGTGTTGATTGCCTTTATGGTATTTCCTCCATTGAGTTTGGACTTTAAGATCTTCTTCACTCTCTTGATGTATTCACCTCTAATCTTTTTCTTGACTTCAGTGTGCTTGATGTTGTCAGCTTGAAGGATACCCAAGTATTTGTAGTACTCTTCCTCATCCAGACTCTTAATGTTATTTTCGTGGGGCATCTTGATTCCTTCAGTTTTCATTATTTTTCCTTGTTTGATAGTAAGTGTGGCACATTTGTCCAAGCCAAACTCCATTACAATATCTTGGCTATATATACAGACAGTGTTGAGCAGCGATTCTATTTCAGATGATGTTTTTCCATACAGCTTCAGATCATCCATATAAAGGAGGTAGGATAGTCTGGCAGATGTTTTTGATGTTTGATAGCCATGTCCTGAGTTATTCAGTATTGTTGACAGAGGAAACAGTGCAATAACAAATAGTAATGGTGATAATGAATCTCCTTGAAATATTCCTCTCTTGATATTAACCTCTCCCAGCCTCTCACCATTGATCTGCAACTGTGTCTTCCATTGTGCCATCGATCTTTGCACAAATTTTCTGATGTTATATATCTACCACATACTATCAGTCTGATGGGTACATCTATGAACTAATTCCATGAGAACTTCATTTCAAGATTAATAATAGTAATGTAAATATTAGAAACCGTAATCCTTGCATTAATATAACTAAAGTATGGATTCATTACATGGATGATACATTTGTCATAACAAAAAAGCAGAGAATGCACACAGATTAATCCACAGTACATTTGAAGTGATCAAATTACCAAAATAAGAAAATAATAATATAGTAGCCTTTCTAGGAATTTATTATTATTATTATTATTATTATTATTATTATTATTATTATTATTATGTTTTATTGATTTTTTTATAATAACAATCCCTAGTGCTTAGCAAACAATGTGTTGTCTGGGTTCATATATTTAAAAACAATCAATAATAATTAATTTATATAATTAATATGTTAGGCAATGATATATTTCCTTGCTCTTCTCTTCTTCCAGTAGTATTCTTCTTTTGTCTGCATTAAACAAGTATACTTCTTAATATTTTTGATTCATACAAGGTTGAGTATAAACATTTTTCTAGTATTTGTACAACTAACAATAACATCAACATATAATATCTTTTTAATTAGCTTATATTTCAATTGTATTTATAAAAGTGATCTTATTAAGTCATTATGTGTCCTGTTTTCAAGATTCTTATTTAAGATTAATTTCCCCACTGTATTCAAACCACTCTTATCAGTCATAATTTTCTCAAAATTAATTACCTTTAAATTTCCAAATTTTTCATTCAGATACACCATCCCAATATTTTTACATTTCATGTATTGTGAAAAGTATTATACTACTTATATATCTTATCCCTCTTACTACAGGGCCCCTTTATATGTAAACTTTATTCTTTTAACTGTATTCAAACAAGTGTTTAATCATGTAGTACTCCATCTGGTAAGTCGAATCAAGTCTCTTAAATCTGACTCTAGCCTTCTTCTTTTGCCAGGTCACTTTCCAACTCAGTATGTTCAGCTTGCCAGGGGATTTTTTCTGTATTTTTGTAGATATTGTTGGGGATAGAAATGACAAATTAAGTAGGATGTTCATTTTTTGTCTCCCAAACTTTAATGATTTTCCTGACAGCTTTTTAATCATTTTGTTAGATCTTCTTTCTTGTCCTCAAGTTTGTTTTGAAGTCCTGGAAGATAAAACATCTTTTTTATTTCCTTTGTTGTAGTAAAATCTTGCAGATTTTCTTTTGTTTGTGTTAAGTTGTAGTTCTCTTCATTTGTAGCTTCCATATTTAAATCACTTTCCTCTAGTTTGTGTTCTATTATCTGATTTGTTTGTTCATTCTCATCATCATTTTTGAGAGTTTTTTAATTGTAAATTTAAATTGGAGATATGCTCATTTATGTCATCAGAGTTGTTTTTGATCTCCTCATGATTTGAAACAATTGTCATTTGAATCTGTTGCAGCATTGCATACATTTTCTCTTGACATGTGTTTATTTTGTCTTGATTCATTGCTCCTGCAGATCTCTGATATTCCAGCTGAGGTCTTCAGGAGGGAGTATTAAGTGTCGTTTCATGTCAATTTTAGATAGATGTACAACATCCATTTTGTCTCCCCCTCCAGATAGTTTTTCACCTATACCATAGTCTCTTTGATTAGCCATGTCAAACCAGCCACTTAAAATCCAAACAACCAAATCTTATGTAGTTCTTATCTTTATATATAGTTTTTATAGTCCAATATGTTTCCAGTTATCAAAGCACCACTGAAAGCAGTATTTTGTAACAGTTCTTCTATTCAGGGGTCTTACTATTATCAGCCAGCCAAGATTTCAGTCCAG